TATCAAATGAGAAAGTGATGGAATCATTGCTCATGACAGGATTTTGTGCAAAACTTAGATGGTTGAAAACAGTCAAAGGAGTATTTCTATTGGAGTTAATGTTTCTAAATGGAAAGAAATTTTCATGAAAGGTAACACTCCTTGAAATAAAAATCTTCTTTGTTTTTAAATCCATCTGTTTGTACCCTTTTATTCCAAACAGATAGCGAATGAAAACACACTTCCGGGATCTAGGATCAAATTTGTGTCTGCTACTGATAAGGGTGGTGGCAAAGGCTAGGCAACCAAAAAACTTTAAATGACTATAGTTGGGGTTAGTTTGAAACAACACTTCAAAAGGACTTTTGTTGTTTAAAATTGGGTTGGTGTTCGATTTATTAAGTATACTGTTGTTAATACAAAATCATTTCAGTATTTTAAAGAAAGTTTACTCTGAAATTGTAAAACCATTGCCACATTCAAAGTATGTTGGTGTTTTCGTTCCATCACAGCATTTTGTTCTGGTGTTTCAACACAAGTCCTTTGGTGCACTATACCTTCTTTTGAATAAAATCATGTCATGATGAATTATCTTCTGTTATATTAGTTCTAATAGTTTTGATTCTAGTCTCAAACTGATTTTCAACCATGGCACAAAAGTTCTGTAAAGCAATAGTAGCGTCAAATTTAAAAACCAGCATGTATCTCATGTGCATCTACAAAAATCATCAACAATATATAAAAAAATATTTAGAGTCATCTCTGCTTAATTTATTACAGGGTCCCCAAATGTCACAATGGATTAATTCAAAATATTTTCTTATCTTACGGTGACTGGTATTAAAAGGTAACTTGTGTTGTTTTGTTAAGGGGCAAATAGGACAATAACTTATACTAGGAGACACAAGAAGATATTCTTCAGAGATGAAATCAAAACATGAAGAATGGCCAAATCTGTAGTGCCATAAGACAGAATCCTCACTATTCTTAGTAAATTCAAAGGAGGAAGACAGACACTTGAACTAATTGAGAATATCTAATAAAGCTAAGGGAGAAATTTTCTTTTTCACCATGTGATATAGTCCACCATTCACCTCACCCATTTCAGTCGTTCTCCAGGTCGAAAGGTCCTATATATAACAGTAGTTAGTAAAGAAAATAAGGTTGCAATTTTCAGTTTGAGCAAGTTTCCTTGTCGAAATCAAATTAAAGGAAAAATTAGGAATACAAAGCACATTATGCAGATTGATATTTTTTGAGATTTTAACAGTCCCAACGTGTGTGACTGGGGTGTTTTCTCCATTTGGTAGTCCCACACAATAAGAGACATTAGCTTGAATAGATGTAAAAAAGGAGGTAAAACAGATCATTTGATCTGTTGCTCCAGTGTCAAGAATCCAAACGATTTCATAAATGTTTCCATGGTCATAATGAAATGCAGTTAAACATAGTGATATACTAGATATTTTGTGATTAAAATCATCTGATGGTGGATGATTAGTAGGTGTTTGAGAATTGTTTGATGAGGAAGGAAGTTGTTGAAGACTTGTTACTGGTCTGATGAGTGCCAATAGCTGAGAGTATTGCTCCTGACTTAAGAATACTTGGCCCTTGTCCTTCACTACTTCCTGACTAGATGTTGTTCCTGCAGAGACCATGTTAACAACAACTTTTCCTTTGTCATTAAACATGTGCCGTGGCAGATATCCATTCAATTTATAACAGTTATCCATTGAGTATCCTGGCATTTGGCAATAAGAGAATGGTGACTTTTTAGGATTTGATTTAAAGCACCTATCAAGAGAGAGTGACCTACAACTTTGCAATAAGTGTAGTAATATCGATCCTTTTTCTTTGATGAGTAGCTTTGGTTTCCTATTTCTCTGTAGTTTCTTCTGCTCAGAAATGCCATAGAATGAGAGTTCACATAACTTGGATTAGATATTTCTGTCCTCTTCTCCTCTTTTTAGATCAAAAGGTATACTACATTCAAACTAGGAAATGACTTAATCAGTAGAATCTGAGCTTTAATATCCTTATATGACTCATTTAGCCCCATTAAAAATTTCATAACCCGGTATGTCTGCTGGTTTTGAACAACTACTTTCAAACCCCCAAAAGTACAATTGAGAATACTCTCATAATTCGTAAGTTCATCCAAAAGAATTTTGAGCTTGAAATAGTAAATACTCACAGAATCCTGGTTCTGCATCCAGGTTGTGATGTCATTTTTAACTTCAAAAACACATGGAACATTTTGTTGGGAAAATCGTTGCTCAAGGTCGAGCCAAAGAAAATGAGCAGTCTCAGCATAAATGGTGCTGCTCTTAATGTCAATTGCCATAGCATTTGGCATCCATGTTATGACAATATCATTACACCTTAGCCAATGCTCCATCAATGGATCACTGGGATCATTTGGTTCACACAGGGAACCATCAATGAATTCTAGCTTTTTTTTTTTTTATCCTTAATGCCCTTCTCAGTGAACGTGTCCAGGAGTAGTAGTTATTTGATTCCAAGAAGTGAGTGACCAGTATAAGACTACTTTCATCATTGCTTCCAATATAATAAGGGTTGCTAGGATGAGTTGGGTCATGAGAAAGGACATTTGAGTTCATTTCTTCTGTTTGCTGTACATTTTGAATTCGATTTGGATTAGTGTTTGCATCTGTGGGGGAGTTTGTATTTGCTAAATTAGATTCTTCCATTTATTGGTTCTGATATCATGTAAACTTCTAAAAGATAAAAGATATCAATAAAGAAATTGGAATGAAAGCTGTAAGTCTTGTATTGATTACTCTATAATCTCACATTTGTACAGAGGAGAATGTAATGAATATATACAGCAATAAAATGCAATCTTTTCCTAACAAGCTACCTAACTACTTTACATGTGAATAACAAAACAAAATGGAGCAACACAGTTTGTACAAAGCAGCCTAACTAATCCCCTTCTAGAGAATTCTTCTGTTGCATCCTTGTCACCAATCCATCCTAGCCCTTTTCCTGTTGACTGTGCTCATGCTCCGGCTGACTGGAATCTAGCAGCTTCAATAGGGGGTGGACAATTCCATTTTCATTTTACTCATTTTGTTTTGTTTTAATTATTGTATTTGTTTTATGTGGAAAATGACGAATTTACTATTTTGCTCTCTATAAATTTGGTTAAAAACACATTTTCTTGGTCAACTAATAGTTAAATGGATGGATTTGTACCCCAGGTGCTAATTTTTCAAATATTTAGGATCGTTGATGACACAAACTGAAAATTAGAGTAAAGTCTGTAAAAAAAAGTCAAAGGTTTGGGACTGCTACTGCAATTTTCCGTAATTTTTTTGTTGTATTGGGATTTTCATTGTTATGTGAATAACGTACAAAAACATATCTATTATTTTCAGTTGTCTATATTTTGACTCAACTTCACAAATCTTATTAATTGGAAAATAGAAAATTGAGAATAATTAGTATTTGTTTATACAAAAATGTACCAAGAGAATCTTTTCTTCTTTATTATAATACGGCCAGCTGACTAATAGAGAATTGCCAGCCTCACCCTAGGACATAGCATCCAATCTAGAGTTATCTCGTGCTACTGCAGTTTTGTTTAGTTTCCTTTTCTTGAAGCAACTGAGCTATTTTATCGAGATTTCTTGGAGAGAATTGTCTCGCGCTCCCAAGTATTCTCTAACTGCTTATCTATGTCGATTTCAGGTACAAGTACCTCTTTTTTTAAAAAAAAATTGTTCGAGATTTTCATAAGAATACGCCGTTATCAACGATTCATTTGTCTTTATTGAGGGAACAAAATTGCTCGATGATAATGTCTTTACTCCACGTAAGGTCAACGAAGTTAGCACATGTTAACCTCCGTCACTAGGGGATTGGTGGGCGTGTGTAACATATTTACTATAAATTAACATAACCTTAAAACAACCTTGCTTCACTCCTTGCATCTCCAATGGTATTCAAATGCATTTACAGCTCACATCACGTGCATCTTGAAATATTAATATTTTTTTCGACTAATTTTAAATTTCCATCAACAAATCCCAGTGTAATATCTAATTATTTTAACATTATCATGGAATTTATTAATGGGATACTATTGAATGAGCACATGACACTGCACGTGCCGAGAATTTTGCTTCGGGATCACAATTTTAAATTGCACCCACACCCCCCTCACATGCTTCAATAATGTCTCGTCCAAGTTTTCCCCAAATATTTTACTCCAACAACCCCAATCCAATCCAATTCGATCCGAACCCACTCTACTCCCAAAAAAAAAAAAAAAAACCTCAAAAAAAAAAAAAAATCCCCCCTCACATGCTTCAATAATGTCTCGTCCAAGTTTTCCCCAAATATTTTACTCCAACAACCCCAATCCAATCCAATTCGATCCGAACCCACTCCACTCCCAAAAAAAAAAGAAAAAAAGAAGGGATTTATGCCGAGAAATGCACAACATATAACCTTAAATTCAATATAAATTGATCACAAAGTTCATTGAACTCATTTCCCAAATCACTATGAAATACAAGTGTGAAGCTTTTAATAGAAAAAAATTGCATCGTTAGTCTCCAATTTATTGTTTAGTAGTAAGTCAATTTTCAATTTTTTGAACTAACGAGTTGATTTTCGACATTTCATTATAATTACACAATCGGTCTTTAAAAGCGTTAATTGTCCAAATTTCGATCAAATTATCACACGATTCATAGAAAATGACGATCGACTTCATATTCTTATTTATCGATTTAAGTTGGAAAATAAAATTTAATTTTATGTAAAAAATAATGAGGAATCCACAGACCTTATCACATTGCATGGTCTCATTCACTCCCCCACGTTCCTATGCCCCCCTTTCATTTGTCCTTCCATTGTACTTAACCCTATTTCAACCCCTTCATCTCTGTCTCTCTCTCTAAAACTCACTGGCTGGAAAACTCAGAATCTGAGTCAACTCACCTCCCCAAAACACACACGCACACAACTGTTAAGATTGTCGAGTACCTGGAATGGATGATCTACTAGACTTCTCTAACGATGAGATTTTCTCTTCCTCTACAGCCACCACTCATTCTGACCTCCAATGCCACGCCTCCTCCTCCTCTGCGGCGGCGGCAGCTTGCTTTGATGCACCTACTGCTAACCACTCCGACTTCCCCGATGTCTTCTGTGTTCATGTATAAACTAACAAGATTTCACTAAATAGGCAAATGCAATCATAGAATATACAATATTTGCTGCAAATGAATATTGATTTACAGTTTTCATTCAATATAGAGCTGATTTTATTTTATTTTATTTTTTGTTTTTTAGAGTGAGGACTTGGCTGAGCTAGAATGGCTTTCGAACTATATGGACGATTCAATCACCGATTTTCCGGCGAATTCCATTACCAACGCCGCAGCAGCATTTCGTGGTAGCTCTCGGAGCATACGCTCCCGATCATTTACCTCCACAAACACAGCCGCTGCCGGCAACACCACATGGAGCTCTACATCACCACCAAATAACAATGTAAACCAGAGAGAGAATTTGATTGACAGAAGTAAAGAGAACGCTGACAATGCGCGTAGATGCACGCACTGCTCATCAGAAAAGACGCCGCAGTGGAGGACCGGGCCGATGGGCCCGAAGACGTTGTGCAATGCCTGTGGCGTTCGGTACAAGTCGGGCCGGCTCGTGCCCGAGTATCGGCCAGCTGCAAGCCCGACATTCGTCCTCACTCAACACTCTAACTCTCACCGGAAAGTCCTGGAGCTCCGACGCCAGAAGGAACTCCTCCGTCATCAGCAGTCGCAGAGATGTAATGACATCACGTTCACGTTTGATGACGTCATTTGAAACAACACGTGTCGGCATTACAGGGACTGAAAATGTGGAAGGATTAATATATTTAATTAAGCTATTTGTACAATACTGGTTGATAATCATTGTTGACAATTTTAGTGTTGTCAAAATTCGAGCCGTTAATTTAAAAAATAGCTTTTTAACGATTATTAAAATTGATGAATGTAATGCTGTCAAATATGAAGTTATCGACCAAGATTGTCAACTAAGGTTGTACAAATAACATGATTCTAATCTATTTGTACCATCATAGATGACAATGTGGTTGACAATATATGAATTGTCAAAAAATGTTGATTGCAAAAGCAAGTTTTTCAAGCTGTCATTGGACAGTTTGTTGACATGTTGTCAACATGAATATTGACTCGTTTGATTCTCATTATTGTAGAATGAAAATGAAAAACATAGTCGTTATAGAGTTCACACAAGAGATAGAAATTCAAAATTGATGGTTTGATGTGATGGATAACGATCATATTTTTCAAATTAATGAGATAAAAAAGTGGTCCAAACGGGGGCATAATCACATTAATATGCGAAGAAATAAAGAAAACTCCCTACTCAAAATTCTTGATTTATGGCCCGTTTGATTCTTATTATTGTAGAATGAGAATGAAAAATATAGTCGTTATTGGGCCCCACACAAGAGATAGAAATTCAAAATTGATGGCTTGATGTGATGGATAACGATCATATTTTTCATTTTTATGATTGAAAAATGAAAAACAAACGGGGGCTGAATTTGAAATGCCCTAATTAATTTTTTCTCCTTTCTCCTAAATTTATGAGAAATTTTAGTTTTGACGTAACTTCATATTTTTCTTTTTCTTGTTAATCCTCTTTTCAATTGTGGAAGGAAGTCATTAAAGTTTCTTACTTTCCATTTCGTTTTTTTTTTTGGGAAATCTCTCTCTCTCTTGCTTTTATTACAATGCGTTCTCTCCAACTGGCAACTACCATCGGCCTTCGACCCAAAGTGTGAGGAAAAAACAGTAAATGGGGTGGTGCACGTGATAGGTCTTAAAGAATAGAATAATGTTTTTGTAAAAAGTGAGGTCGTAAACGAGAATGATAAGATTCTTAAAAATTTGTATGTGAAACGTAGTTTTTTGTCACAACTCGCACAATATGGGGAACTTCAATTTATACAAATAGCATTACTCGAAAAAAATATCCTATGCAATATATAATGTGTATCAATTTATGCATGTTTGTATTTTTATTATTTTATTAAATGAGAAAATATTTGATAAACAATGCTAACTTTCCCCTGAAATATTAGAACAGAAAATTCAAAGAGATCAGAAAAGATCTTAATCATCGTTTTTAAATCCAACGTTTCAATTTCTCTTGCGATAAGATCGTCAAATTTATCGATATTAACTTCAATAATCGATGTATTTAACATAAATAAGTAACTTTTCCCTCAAATCAAATCGTCACACACATTGACAGAAATAACAAAAAAGGTACTACAATCAATGAGTGACAATAGGAAAATAGTGACACAGCCACATCTCGTCTTCAAATCTCGAAATCGATATAAATCACAAACAAGTTCTCATGATGACCAATCATCAAAATGGAATAAGGAAATAATAATCTGAAAACAGGAATTAACAAAAACGATCAATTAATTAATCAAAGAGTTTTAGCAAATTTTTTTTGGATATTTTGTATTTACGAAAAAAAAAAATGAGAAGAAATACAGTGCAAAAAATTTTCGAATTCAACCCTGCTATAACTTTATTCGGAATCATCAGTCATTTAGGAAGAGGTAGGGCAATATGATCTCTGTGATAATCAAATTGATTTCTCTCCAGTTACATTCGGATTTAGAGCTTTCAACTCACTCAATAAAAAGAAGACAATACCCAAATTCAACTATTACCATAGAATTTCTATCTATGGAAATGAAACCAAACTGGAGAAATTCAGACAGAAATCCCATAATTGCTGATCTTCGCGACTTCCTTGGTGAGAGCGTTTCTTTCTTGCTTCACCTCTTTAGCTAGGTTAGAAACCTAAAGGCAGAATATTCATAAGAACGAAAAACTTTCTAAAAAAAAAAATCTACAAATCTAGTCCGTTCATTCATTTGTAATTTAGATCTTTTCCGAGCTCCTGTAAAGAATAGAGATCACTACTGCACAAAATTATCATATGCTTTATGTGCAATGCTGCAGACTGGTACCAGCTTAATCCAAGTCAAAAAAAATAAGATTGGGATCGTTTCCATTTTTTCAGGTCTAATTAATTATTTTCAGCAAGTGTAATAAAATAACAAGACAGATATCCGGTTTTGAACACTAAGTTTAGATGTGGGTCACTTTCTTCAAGAGAGAGTGCTTTTTGGTCAAATATAATGTCATATATAACACTATTCAAATTGAATACGACAACTACACGTGGTTATCAATTATCATTAAACTTGAAGCCAGCTGATCAACTCTTTTTCTCCCTTCTATCCAGTTCATTGCTGAGTTTTCCGGAAAATCTAAAGAATGGAGATACTTAACGACTACTCCCTCTTCTTATCACGTCACTCTTATAGATAGGACCCTCTTTAGGTCTATGTAAAAACATGTTCCAACCATCTAACTAGTACATCCCCTAATTACGCTTAATAGACGCCAGTTTCAATTGTTCAAATATTGAAAACATCCATACATGAAGTGGAATGGTTTAGAGAATATCCAAGCTTTCTTTCTACTTGATTCAAAACATCATATCCTCTCATAGAACTTTTCTTTCTGCAGGTAAAGATGAAAAAGAAAAAAATCAAAAGGTCATCCAGAAGTTCATGCCTTTGGTGGACCTCCAGGCAAAGATGCCACAGTTTTACTGAGAGAAGCAACAGTGTCTATTTTCCCTAGACAATGTTCTACAAATATGAAAACTAACATCACATGTAACTCATGCTTAAATCCAAGCTTCACAAAATTATGCTGCGAAGCCTACTCCACAAAATTATGGAAATGGTCCATGTATGTGTGCGTAAACATCCTATGTCTAAATAATAAGGAGCGTAAGGAACATGAGAGAGACTTACTTGTGAACGAAATCGGGATGCTTCTCTACTGGGAAGCTCCTTAAGAACATCCTTCAAGCCTGATACAACATAAACTATCAGATACCATACCCTACATACAGAACATCCTAAAAAATGAAAGGAAAAAAATGATTGCTTGACACAAGTGACCTAAAAATACATGGAAGCTCAGATACATGTTTACGTACCCCCAGCTTGTCTTTCTATTTTATATGCAGAGTTAATGACACTTTGAATTTGCTTTCCTGTCTGCCTGTATGAGGAAAAAACAACAGGAATATAATCATGAAAGAAATAGATGACAAGTAAATGAAGTTCAATCGTAAATGACATTTCATCTACGAGCACAAACCTGAGTTTTGTTCTACCTCGTTTCAACTCTTCTTCAGCTTGAGACGCACTTCTCTGATTTGATTAAAACTAAGTAAATAAGCCACTTCATAAGAGAAGACGGAGTGCACAAGTGATCCCAGGTAAATATTCTACTAATATTTTAGTGATGTCCAGATCTCCATCCCTTCCCAAGGTTAGAAAATTTAGGCTTGCACTTTCCATTATATTGTTGGTTGAAAGAGACAATCCACTACTAGGGGTCAGAGAAAATAGTTAACTCAAGAATAAAAGAAAGAAAAAAAACAATTTAAGCATTTTTCCAATGAATTTGAGTCAGCTAAAAAGGCGGAAAAAAAAAATACCTATGAGGTACCTTTTAATAACCATCAAAATCAAATTTCCCAAAGGCCGAGCGACAAAAAATCTGCATTGACTTGTACATAATGACAAAACCTCAATCTCTCTCTCTCTCTGGTGGAATGTACTGACCATCGCTATTTGAATGAAATACAGAGAGAAAAAGCAGAAGAGGACTTTGGGTTTTGCATTTTTTTTCACCTTGGTAGTAGCTATAGAAAAGCCTTTTTCAACTTAAACCTTCTAAGAACCTTATACTGGAAAATGAGATAAACAACGGAGCAAAGTATAAAATGATGAACCCAGAAAATACATTTCAGAGCTACCTAAAGTCAATTGTTTTTATGTCAGAAAAAAGTATAGTGTGTCTCCACCATTCGACCACTTTATCATTTTATGTTTTCAACCAATTCTCAGTGATTCTGTTCAATATGTTAAAGGGTGTAAACATAAAGGTCTAGTGTTCTGTTTGCTGTTATAGTTTGAGTGGAGGAACGAATAGGAAAAATGCACTGCTGTTACCATTTATCCCTCTTCCAAGCATTAAAAAGACATTTGCAACTTCTCTGTATTATGTCTTCTAACAATTAAAGCATGTTGTAGTTCCATTTTGATCATTTTTACATCTGTACCACGATTGGCAATGATTCAAACATAGGCCACAGAGACAAAGAAGAAAAACCACATTCTTAATTCAAGCATAGTATATTTTTTTCAGACACAAAAGACAAAATTTTCTTTTTAGTCTTGGAATATAAAATTAACATAATATTTCAAGCGTTGCCCCTAAAAAAATGAGCATTTATTCATGATCCCTATATCAAGAAGTGGAGGGGGAGAGGGAATTTAAGGGAAAGTAGACGACAATCTTCCCAATCGAATAACCACTAGCTCAGTCGACAACAAACCAGGAAACCCCTGAGCCGGTTAAAGATACAAAGGAAATTAAAAAAAAACGTGTTTTCTGTGTCTTTCACCTAGTTTATTATTATATCATCAGCTTCTTCTTGTTTTCTTTTCAGTTTGGGGGGATGCAATTGAGAGAGGCAGGCAAAGAGCAAATTCATCAAAGTGCTGTAAAGGATTGCAGCATGAGGCATAAAAAATATACAATGTCAACTAAACAGAGTCAGTTGAAAAAGGTATTACCTCCAACATTTCAGTTTCTGCCTTCAAAATATCAATTGATTGCCGCAACTCCTTGACTCTAGCATCAGCCCTAGAAAGCAATGCCTGGACCCAACATCACTGATCAACATGATGTTTCCTTACTTGACCAGTACTTAAATGCTACGTAGATTTTCTTCATTACGCAAATAAAAAAAGAAACTACTTCGACTATAAGTTTCCACCTTTTTCCTCTTTTTATCAACATTATTATGCTACTAGAGTATCAATAAAAACTTTCCCAGTGTCTGCATCTGTATCCAGTAAACTGCTTTTTTATATAAGAGCTAGTTCACATTTCTGTTTTTTTTTCCGTTAATCACATCACAAGAAATCTAATTCGGTGAAGTACTTAATCCACACAATCTACAAATTCAAAAGGTTTTGTGGCTCCATTACCTCTTCACTAATAAAAAGATGCATTGTTTTGTAGTATAAGAATTGCCTAGGCCCTGCAGAAGAAAATGAAAGGAAGTCCCGTGAAAAACGAGAACGAAAGAATTATGAGTAAAAAATGATTGCTGTTCAATGTTGATAAACAAATTGCATTAGTAGACTGAGGTGAAAAGTCATTCACTGTTTAAAACGTACTTTTAAAACCCAAAAGTCCTAAACCAAGAACAGCCCCTGTTGTAACCAACGGGTGAGAAGCAGCAACAAGAAGACCCTCTGCTTAACATTGATCATACAGAAAAGGGTCAAAAACTAGGATGGCAGTGAGAGGTTTCACATAAAAGCTTTTGATAGTGAATTTAATATCAATAGCATGAATTATAACTTTGAACAGACCTTTAATCTTCCCAAAAGCAATATCCTCATACACGCTATACTCAGACTTGACCTCTTGCAAAGAATCCTGTAACAAGGTTGCTCTCGATCAAAAATATTTTTCATGGTAATCAATGACTAAGAAAATAGAATTTTAGGTTCAAGTACAGATTCCAGAAGCCCATATACTAAAAGAAACAGAATTTGCTGCAGAATCAAAGAAAACAAAACCCTCTGCTTAAACTGTTGGCATTCTACAAGACAGTCAAGTTACACTCCAAAACCAAAACTCAGCAAGAAATGCAGCCAACTTGGATGTATCAAACAATATTCACTAGTCAAATAAGTGAAATAACTAGGTCAAACTAATTAAAAAATCCTTAACTGCAATATTCTCTTTCCCATCAAGGTCAGTTTGGTTGCCAACTTGCCATGGAAATGTAAGTTCACATAATCTTTTATTAGCTTCAAATGCTAATATGAATAATTTTTGAGAGCCTAGCCTATAAATAATGTAAGTTCACCTAATCTTTTATTAGCTTCAAATGCTAATATGAATAACTTTTAAAAGCCTAGCCTATAAATAAATCAAATCAAGCAACAAACAATTCTCTTATTTACGATCAAGTATTTCAAGCAAAAATCAATCACTATCATAGCACACATATTAGGCACAGATAGTCTTTTTCTCGAAAGATTTTTGAGGTGATTGTAGAAATTATCTACCTTGATGTTAAGAATTTTATAGTTAGCTACCTATCCAATGTATTTACTTACACACACATTTATATACTTGCTTATATCCACATTAAACACAAAAAAATAAAAATAAAAGGAAGAGCACATAAATCATCAACTAAGATTTATGTGGTTGTGTGGCTATTGATTGCTTTCACAAAATGAGATGCTCTCTGTGCTGATAATGCCAGAACCAGGTGAGACTTCTAAAGAATAAAGTACAATCAAAAGTACAGTTTGAACTGCTCTGCAATCTTTTCTCACGTGTGTAAAATTTCTTTACACATATAACCAAATGAAACCAAACAAGTCAGCAGCACTATGCTTTACAAGTATTAAGTCTTCATTGCAAAATTTCAATTTTATCAGCGACCAAATGGAAAGTGCTTCAAGAGAGCAAGGAGAAACACTGAAAATTTAAATTTATTGTGAAGAAAACTGCCAGGTCTAATTTCCGAAGGATAAGTTCCCCATAGTTATACATAATGTGTATGGATGTGTAATTTTAAGGATGGGTGCGTAATTTTACTTTTTGCACCATTATAGATAAAAGGAGTTCATTTCTCTTTCTAATTTTTTAGTCAGATTTCATCAGCTAATAATATGTGCTATAAAAAATGCTAAGCCTATTATTGAGGACAAGAATACAGGGAAGAATTTCTAGTAATTGAGGCCCAATTTTAATTGGGACCTAGACATGGATGAATAATTGAAGTATCAATTAAATAGTTGCAGGGAGTGATAGAAATTTACTCCATAACCAGTTACAGGTGCACAACTTCTAAAGCATAATCTATTGCTCCAAATGAAATATCTTCACTTCCTGAGTGCATGTATGGTTATTTCATTACTGTAGCATTACAAATTTCAAAAATAAAAGCCTAATATACTCTTTATTCTTTCTTCTTCTTTGAATTGTGCAGTGGAAGTGGACAATAATACAAGAGCCTGGTAAAAGAGTACAACTTCTGAAGCATAACGTTCAACAATCGGTACCTATTACTCCAAATGATAAGCGAATCAAAAAATAAAAATAATATATCAGGAGACTAATAAAAAAACAAAGCAGTTAAATTCGAACGCTCACAATGGTTTGATTGAAATGAGCGGCGGATGTGGTAATAATGCGATTTACTCTCGATCTGGTGCTTTGGATTGCGTTCTCGACGGATGTTTCGATTGTTTCCTGCGCAATCTGAGCTTGCTGCACCGCGTAATCGATCCACGGTATGTTCGGAATATTCTCTTCCATCGAATAATTGTTCGGTTTTTCTTCCGGTGATTCACCGGCAACTGTTGCCATTGTTTTCCTGAGTGCTTCACTTCTGAACGCTGAACCTTTACCCTTTTTTTCTCGCTTTTAATTTCTTTTATTTATTATTAACCTTTATTAATTTGTCTCGGGTTGAACCGGATTCGGTAGTCTGTGTCGCGGCTTGCTTTTTTAATTTTTCATTTGAAATAAATTCAATAAGTCAATCAAAAATATTTTTAATTGTAATGGTTTACTGCCATAGTTATTAGATCAGAATGAACCGAGCACAAGTGTAATGGGTAATTGTATATTTGTACATCAACACGTTCATATTCTTCAAAATCTATTTAACCCGTAATCTAAAAAATATTGACCAAATATGTTGACTTTTTGAAATCATATCAACGAAACATATATTTTTTTCTTAACAAAATAAAATCGCCCTTCGCCATAATGCAACTTATACTGATAATATTAATCGATTCACATAAAAAGTAGCTTTTGATTTCGCTTATAGGCCACTCTAAGCATGCTTCAAAAAGAATATCTCCAGAAGAAATCATCGGTATAAGATTACAAGAATCATAACTAATTTGACCATTTGCGGTTGTAATGGCATTCAAAACTGCTTCAGTGGATCCACATGGTAGAGTAATAACAAATGTAACTAAAAATCCATCTCATTTACCACCTCGTGGTCTGAAAATCAATAGAACTGATAAAAAGGAAAATGTATATTCTTGGAAGATGAAAAAACACCAAAATTTCCAGTTGTCAATTTGATTTTTCCAAACTTACAAAAAGAACAATTCTAACAGAAAGTAGACTCCTCAAGAAATGTATAAATTCCCAAATTAGAAATTGACAATGTTGTTGTTAGGAAGCAAACATGAAACTATCTTAAGCCTCTTTGCGGACAAAGTACAGCTTGCCCATGACATGAAGAACAGCAACAAAGGCAATAAAACCAATGCTCATTACAAGCACAACATTGGGAGAAATCTTGAGTCCCGGGGCATCATCTGTGTAGAACTGGAGCATGGTTCCACTTGTTCCACCTGCAGCCCCACCACTAGTCGTTCTTCTCCTACGCAGGTTAGCAGCAGCTGCTGCAGCAGTTCCTCTCTGGGGGGCAGCTCCACCGGTAGCCATTTCTGCACCCATCACATCAAACTTCAGAACCAAGAACTTCTTTACTAATAATGTATAGTTCAGATTACAGATACCCGAGCACAAAAAAAAAAAGTGCTCGTGTAAATTGTAATTGGAGAAAAGCAACAGAGGGGGATGAAGCCAGAGCAGATAAATGAAACGCATAGGTAAAACACTTGAAACTTATCAGCAACACTCACAGACAAGTTGTACGTGGCTATTCAAGAAGTTTCAAGAGCATACTGTAACAAGTGTCTTTGTTCCAATGCTCCAATAATACAGCTTTATGACGTTAACTATTTCAAACATTTTCAGAGAACCACCAACAGAGATAATGTGTGCCCAATTCATATCATTTGGTTCATCCACAAAAGGTCAACCCTCCCTCTATCTTATACACAAGACATTAACCATCATAAAATTATTATTGGAGGTTTTACTTGTATCATGGCGCAGGAAGAATAGGGCTACCACAACTTGTTCCAACCAACGAGGTGGTCAATGTTCCCCACAGTTCCAACCACGGCTCCTTTCGATATGTTATGAAAGTCTTATTAATTCATATAATTGTACAGGCAGTACAGCCAAAGATGTTTTACAAATGCAACTAAGATCTTTCTATCCGTGCTTCCATGTGTCGTGCATCTGAGGCAGATATACACACATGGACAAACCCATGCATACATATGGATGCATATAATCGTGTGAACGTACATTTATTTATTTATTTACATGTATGTATGGATGAGAGTTTTTATTTGCATGGAAAAATTGGAACTTTACTGTACATTTTACACTTCATAAATCTTTTGACCATCGTATGAGGTCAAGACAATCAAATTAAGTCACAAAATCAACCAAAAACAATTAAATCATAACTAATAGATTCAAAAATTAATACATTTACAAAGAAAAGGTAAAACTAATTGCGAAGTGTTTAAAAAAAATCAAATTTCGTCTATTGAACCCCAGCAGATCTTAATTTTCAGATCTGGTGACTCGGATCAGGATGAACGTTGTCTCGATGCGTTGGAACTCGAATTCAATAATCAGAAATCCAAGATCAGGAAAAAATTTACGATTTTAAATACCTTTCAATTACTAATCGAAACCAATCCCACAAAAGAGTTAACTACAAAAGCACATATACAAGTACATATAAATATTCAACATTTTTATATACAACTCATCCTTCCTTTTTTTGTTGTTAAAGGCAAAAATCCAACTAATCGAGATGAAAGATTTGAAAATGGAGTAAGAATCTAACCTTATTTCCGCGAAATTGATTAATTAAGCCTCTACACAGATCGAACGATTTTTTGAGAGAGAATTTGATAGAGATTTCCTTTTTGTTATTTATGATTTATGAATATTGTCTCTCTTTTTGATGTAATTTTTTATGAATGGAAGACGCGTAGCCTTTACCAATTATTTTCAGCCACGTAGCCGACTGTTGTATTTATGTTGTTGGGCCAAAATAATTGTGCAAAACCAAGTTTGGATCATATTAAGAAGCTAAGCAGAAGTGGTAACTACATAAAACCAACCATTTTCCTTCACATTTTCAAAAAATCTGGTTTTCACTTTTTTTTTTCATTTATCAGGTTTTTTTTTATCATTTTAATTAAATAATTATTCCTTTAAAACCCTAATTTATCAATTCATCCCCCACACACGATAGTTTATCTCTCTCTCCTTCGATTTTCTCATCCTTCTCCTCCCCTTCCCCCTCCATGTCGGAGCATCTCATCCATGCCGATTCACAGCAGCGTTCAACGCTTCTGTGAACGCTGCTGCAAATCACAGCAACGTCGACTGTTGCCGATTCACAGCGAAGCGTTGAACGCTGCTGCAAATCACAGCAACGTCGACTGTTGCCGATTCACAGCGTCGATGCTACTCTGTGCAGCGTTCGACACTGCTATGAATAACAGCAGCGTCGACGCTGCTGTGGTTGTGGGGGGTTGGGGTTTTTTGTTGGGTACAACAACTATGTTGTCGGCAGTGATAGGGTGGGCGTGGATCTGGTGGCTGTGACGGGGTGGAGGTGGTGTCGATGGTGCTGTGTGGATTTGCTGTGGGTGTAGCTGATAGGTAGGTGGATTTGCTGTGGGTGTGGCTGTGGGAAGCTGTGTGGTGGTGCAGGCGGCGATGGGACGATTGTTTTTTGTTATTATTATGGCAGTGGATGTGGTGGTGTTGTAATGGGGTGGCGATGGTAGTGCTGTTCAGGCGGCAACAGTGGTGGTGTTATTGTTGATGGGTGTTTTAGGGATGAGGGTCGGCGGCGAATGGGACAAAGTATATGTGACCAACTAATTGGTCGTTTTGTGACCTGTGACAAAGTATTGTTGATGTATTGGGATTGGAGGACAGGTGCGGCGGATGGGTCGAAGTGTCTGTGACCATCTATTTGATCGATCTGTGACTTGTGACCATCTATTTGGTCGATCTGTGACCTTGAAATATTTCGTGATCTGCAAAATTTTTGATCTGTGACCGATAAAAAAATTGTGACCTAAAAATTTTAGATTTGTGACCTCGAAATAATCTGTGACCTACAAAATTTTTGATCTGTGATCGGAGAACACTCATCGAAGTGCTCGCTGGTCACAGGAGTAGTCGCCGGAAGGGGAGGTGGGGTGAGGTGGGGTGGGGTGGGGTGGGATGTTATATTATAGTTAAATATTTAATTTAATATAATAATTGTGAAATATAATTAAATAATTCATGAAAAACTTGATTTTTGCAATATTAAACATTGGGGCCTGATTTATGATTTCATGATAGATAATACATGACCATGAATTTTTCCCTTGTGTCAATGCTCAACAGATTCGGCTATGAAAAACTTGATTTTTGCAATTCTAAACTTTAGGGCCTCATTTTTTATTTTGGGATAGATAAAGTTTGAGTTGTGAATTTTTCCTAAGAAGAATGGATTAGTAAATGGCCCAAAAATGATTAACTCGGCAAAATTGACAAGAATCCTAAATTTTATAAAAAAGTTGAAAAATACCTCTCTCTCAACTTTTTAAAAGTTATACCTTCTTCTCGTTGATAATCAATATTTTTCAGTTTATAAATTTTATAATTTTTTTTAAATACTTCATTTCCATTTAAAACTAATTTTTTATTTTTTATTTGAAAATAACATTTTTACACGAGTAACATATTGTGTTACTTATACATTACTTTTTTATTAAACAAAATTAACATTTTATCGGGTAAGATGTTGTATTATTATATATTACTATTTATTAAAAATTAACATTTTAAGCGAGTAACATATTATATACTAAAAAAGTCAAAAAATAACATGTTATGTTACTATATGCCAATTTTTATTAACGGACTGTGTTATAAGAGTAATATGTTGTGTTATCACATGTTACTTTTTTATTTTATTTCCCTAGTATGCGTTGTATGACACTATATTACTTTCATCAAAAAATTTCATAGTATACTACTCTTACGATTTGTTCAATCAATGCCATCCATAGAAAACCAACAACCGCCATCAACAAGCACCACGACCATTATAACCCCATATTGCTACCTTCTTACTACCACCATCATTGCCCTTGCACCACCCATCACCATGCGGAAACCATTCTTCCTCTCAAAAACCGCCTTCCACCACCATCAAGGCGCTTGGACTTAAGCTCTCAACCCAAACTATAACCACCAGTCCACCACCGACTATGAACCGCCACCATCGTATAAAATAACAACTGAAAAAATCGCCATAGAAGAGAGAGAGAGAGAGAAAGGAAAGTGACTTTGATAATTGCAAACAATCTTGAATCAAAGATGAAATAGCAATATTATGTGGTTATGCAACCTAGTCAAACCTGCCATGGCTACAGGAACTGCACATTGATTAGCACAAGTTTTTAATCCATATTATTTTGTTTCACATAATTCTTATATTTTCTAGTTATTAGTTCTATTAGAAAAAATTAGGAAACTGTTGATAATATTTTGATAGCAGCAAAATTAGACAATAACTCTCATACTATTTATTTAATTATTCTTCAAATTTAATTACTAGAAGCCATGATATTAATATTTTTTTTTACAAATTTTATATTCATTTCCTTGAGTATAAATAATTGAAATACATATATAAAAAAACCTTTATTTGATTTTTCTTTCAATATTGTGAATGGAAATGCTTGTCGTATTTTAACTAAAAAATTGTGTTCTGTTACGTCTCGATTGATGAGGCTCTAGAAGATCCTGGGCCCGCACTCCACGTCATTTGATCAGGAGGCAGTTTGCCGAACCCCCCATGAAGAGGCAAAACCGGTATGAGAAGCTGAACCCATCTGGCTAAAGTCGACCCCTTACCTAGAATATAACTCTCATGGCGAGAGAGGTTGTAAGGGAGGCCGGCAAGAGATCTCTCCTAGGCAATCTTTAATAAGCGATTGATGTGACAATTTACTGCTACAATTAGGGATGACAAAAAAATTCATTCAACCTGAAACTCGTGGAGCCCCGCCCCAAACAAGGCGGGGATTACATGTCTAATAGGGTAAACGGGGCGAGGGACATTGCCCCGAATCATGTACGAGAATCATAGTCCACACCCCGCTATCCGTCCCGTTTAAAATTAATTTTAAATTTAAATTTTTTATCAAACAAATATAATAGATTTATGAATTTTTAAAGAGAATATAAGTTCTTTCTAACATATTAGTAAAAAAAAAAGTAATAATATTTACTAAATAAAGACATAAAAAAAATAAATAATAAAATAAAATAAAATAAATATATAAATAAAAGGGTCAGGCCAGCCTCTATTCCGTTTCAAACTCGCCCCGTCCCACTTCAAACGGGTATGTGGATGTGGTAAGGTAACAAAAATATCCGATGGGACAGGGTGGGAACGGTCGACCCGTCCCATACCCGCCACATTGACATCCTTAACTGCAACCCCAACCAACCAATTAGGTCAAGTTAGGGATGGCAAAAAAGCTCGTCGAATCGGACTCGGTGGAATCGAGCCCTATTTTGGGGGGTCGGCTCGAGCCGGCCCGTAATTAATAAAAAAATTAAAATTAATAAAAAAAAAATTAAAAGCTGCCTATAGGCAGCTAAGGAAGAAAAATAAATAAATAAAAAATCGAGCTGCTCGGACCGAGTCTTATTTTTTTTGGTCGGGCTCGGCTCGGCCAAAAAAGCTCTAGCCGAGCTAAAACTTTTTTTTCGGTTCGGCTCGACTTGTTGACATAGTTAGGTCAAGTCTAAGCCTTTCATCAGAATTATGTGCAGTAAAATGATATTAGTATTAAATGTTTATGATTGATTGATGTCATTCACAAGATGCCTTAACTGTGTGGATGAGGCCACATATATTTCCATCACATGGCTAATACTCATCTTATTCTACTATAAAAGCTTACACAATGTGTCATTCTAAAGACAATGCAAGTTTAAACTCTCAAACTATAACTTTGTTATCCTTATTGTCATCATTAAAAATTCCCCCAAAGCTGACTCCCTTTTTATGTTGGGGGCTCGTGTCTATAGCACCTCTCACACTCCTATATATTACTTTAACTGACTAACCGTGGAAGTGCACGCAGCCAACTCCACCACTGAAGGAAGCCACGTGTGACTAACAATTTGTCTTAAGTGTGCAAGGAATCAATCATACATAAACGCGGGAGATTTTGGAATCTGTTGGCCACTTTAGAAGTATAAATTTCGAAGTCAACATGTTCATTACATAAAAATTACAAAAATCATGGAAAATAATTTTTGATAGTAATTGTTTTACAGCTTAAAATTAATTTTTTTATTCATTTTTAGTTGGATTATTAACTTTATGTCATTTTACAACCTGATAACTCTTTAGAAGTTTATGCATAATTTTCTCGATCTTTGTTCTCTTTTATGTGATTAAGTTTAACAAAAAAAAAAAATATAAATTGTTAATAAAGAAATCTAGAATTTTTTTTTTTCGGAAAAACATGCAAATGATGAGAAAATGTCAATAATGACCCTATAAAAAATTAATTGTAAAGATATATATGAAAGAGAGAGTGTTCTTGAGACCCTATAAAAAAACATGCAATTGAACTTTTATAGTTTTATTGATATGCTGGTAATCCATGACCAATTCGGATAACAAATCATTCATATAATTGATAGAAACCTACTATTCTGACGTTCTTAAAGGGTGTTTGGTGAGGATTAAAATTAGATTTTTAGTAGATTGTGATAGAAATTTTTAAAATGTGTGATTGAAAAGTTGTGAGACCCACGAAAGATATAATTAATATTGATTGTTTGACTTTGATTTAGATTAAAATCCAATTTTAATCTGTACAAACACGCAAAACTCTTAGACAGTTTTTGTGTAATTCATTTTCGTTTTGATAATTATTTAATTATCGGATGATATATTTTGTCGGCGAACACTTTCGCAAACGAAAGATCAGTAATTTGTGAAGAAATTTCACTTTTTTTTTCGTCGTGACTATCTTTCTTTCTATAATTTAATATTCTAAAATCAAACAACGAGTTACTGATTTTTTTTTTCTTTCTATAATTTAAT